AACTAAGATTACTTGCTGAGGTTAACACCTTTATAGCAAAGTATAGAGAAATAAAAAAGGTTTCGTGTTAAATGAAAAATTATTATTATCAACTAACTAAGTTGTTAATAACAAAAATTTTACAAAAACTCGATATTTTTCACCAAAAGTACGTTCAATAATGAAAATTTTAAATGAAAAATTTTTAAATTGACCCAATTATTTAAACCCTAATAAAGTTTTGAACACCTGATCCACATACATTTTTAAAAGTGAGGATTTATTCTTGAAAACGAATTTTTTTTATCAAAAGTAAGTTTAACAACAAAAACTTTGAAATTTCACCAAAAGTACGTTTAATAATAAAAATTTTGAACAAAAAACGTTTATGTTGATACAATTTTTTAAATTCTAGTAAAGTTCAGAACAACTCAGCGACATACATTTTGAAAAATATCGATTTATTATTTTATATCATTTAAAACAAAATAAAAAGTGGTCATTTTTTCCCAATACCAAAAATTTTAAAAATTGATATTTTTCATCAAAAGTAGGTAATAATAAAAGTTTTGAATGAAAAACGTCTAAATTGATCCTATTTTTTTAAATCCTAGTAAAGTTTTGAACACCTGATCGACATACATTTTTAAAAGTGAAGATTTCTTCTTGAATACGAAATTTTTTATGATAAGTAAGTTTAATAACGAAAATTCTTAACAAAAAACGTCTGAGTTGATTAAATTTTTTAAACCCTAGTAAAATTCTGAACAACTGATCGACATTCATTTTGAAAAATGACGATTTAATTTTAGTTTTTAATGAAAATTTTGAAAAAAATTCGACATTTTTTACCAAAAAACGTTTGATAACAAAAATTAAAAAAAAAATTTGTTATCAAAAGTACGTTTAATAATGAAAAACCTTTAAATTGTCCCAATTTTTTAAATCCTAGTAAAGTTTTAAACACCTGATCGACATTTAAAACAGACGATTTATTCTTGAAAACGAAACTTTTTATCAAAAGTAAGTTTAATAATTAAAATTTTGAACAAAAAACCTCTAAGTTAATTCAACTTTTTAAACCCAAGTAAACTTCTGAACAACCCAGCAACATGCATTTTGAAAAATAACAATTTATTTTTGAATATTATTTAAGTTCAAAATTTTACATCAAAATTACGTCTAATAAAAAAAAAATTGAAAAAAATTCAACATTTTTCACCAAAAAAACGTTTGATAACAAAAATTTAAAAAAATTGATATTTTTCATCAAAAGTACGTTTAATAATGAAAATTTTGAGTGAAAAACGTCTAAATTGACCCAATTTTTTAAACCCTAATTAAGTTTTGAACAACTAATCAACATACATTTTTAAAAATGAGGATTTTCTAGAATATCAACTAAAAAAAATTCTACATTTTTTAACAAAAGTACATTTAATAACAAAAATTAAAAAAATTATAAATGTATTCAGGGTGTTTTCCAAATATTGCGAAAAATGCAACCACATATTTTACATCGAAAAATAACATTAATTTGTTAAATAAACGCTTCGTTAAGGATATACAGGGTGATAAAATTTCATAAAAATAAAAATCAAAAACGGGTAATTACCTTGTGAGATGTATTTCATGACAGCATTGTAGTGCCTATTAAACCTGTGCAAGTACTTGTTGTCCCCTAGCAAAATATAGGCTTTGAGACAGTACTCATAATAGGAATCAATCCCAGCCCCCACTCCCGAATCCCTCCTAACCCAATCCCCGGAATGGACATTCAAAACAGTTCCCATCAAATCTGAACTTCGATGTCTCATCTTCCACAACTCATCCATCGCTTTGTGTGCTTTCTCTTCGAAAATTGGTTCGCCTGTTAATCGTGACAGTGCTGCCATCTCTAGTATCATAGATCCAGCACACGCCGTACAAGTCTCTCGTGCAGACTCCAATCGGTCGCTTTTCAAACCATATTTCATATTCACCTTAAAAAAAAACAACACATAGAGTCCTGAGACTTTAAAATTAAGTTGGCAATATATGACAATTGACGTTTGGAGTCAATGTTGCCAACTTCATTTTAAATCACTTTGACCATTATTTACCCTCGAATGTGGTATTCCTGTGGTGGTGTTGAAAGCCGGTAAAAGTCGATAGCCGACGTCTTTGGCCATGTTGAGGAGTTCGCCCTTATACCACGCCATTATTCCATCTCTTTGTTGCAAATAATCGGCCAAAATATGAGCGGATAAAAGTCCACTAAAATCATCGATTTATTTTAAATTTTTACAATTTTTCACTCACCCTAAAACACGAATGTTGGTCTCGAAGACTGACACGACGACATCGTTATCGAACGAAACGTCTTTTATTACAAGTTTAACGGCATGTTCGAATTCTTCTAAATCACCTAACACCACTAAAGAGTCCAGAGTATCAATTAGTGTAAGTGAGAAACTTGAACAAAAAGAAAATTCAATTAACTCTGCTAGAAAATAAATGATTAAGTGAAAAACGAATCAAGTCGGAGGGTTGTGCCAGATAGTGAGATCGTTGTCGATATATTAATATTTAAAGCAACATTTACCGTTTTCTCGTTGAAAAATTTGTAGTTTAGGAATTTTCAGATACGTGAGTTTTAAAAATTGCTGCATTGATGTTGTTCAGTAGACCGGAACTTCTTTAAAGAAAAACGATTTGAATTTACAGAGCGAAACTATTGATAATGTCAGAGTTTGTTGGAGGTCGAAGTTTTTTAATACCCTCGAAAATAATTTATTTTATTAAGATGCCAAGTGACATTGAGTGAAATCACGACACCGAGAAAATATTCAATCGAAAACTGATATATCCTTCGTGATAATTTTTGAATACTTTTTTTGTTATTTCTCTTTCAAAAAGATTCAAATTTTACGCAAAAATGGTATAAAAAAACAACAAAAAAAAGCAATTTTTTATTAATAATACTTGAAAAAACATTAAATGAAATACTTTCTTAAATAAAAAATGTATAAGCAAATTGGACTAACAAGGTACAAAATTTGAAAAAAAAAAAAACTTTTTTCTTTTCGATATTCTATTATCGTATCAACAATCCTTCTCCGTAGGATTTAGGGATATTCGTGGATAGGTTGCCATAATTTTTTTGTGGTGACAAACAAAAGATATCGTAACTAGTGTCAAAAATTTAGATTAAATCACCTGACAACTTGTATAGATAACTCAATTGATAATTGACAGTGGAAAATTCTAGTTACAAACAACATGACAAACGTAATTTTCCTAAAAATTCAAATTCTAGGTGGTAATTTCTTGTTGACAAATCTGTAATGTAATGTAATGTATTGTTGTATGTTTTTACTAAAATAAATATTTTGTCAAATGTTTTATAAAACGTGTGGTTTTTATTGAAATTATAAAAACGAAAGTATACCAAAAAATGTTGGTGTTGCATTTTCAACGTCATTGAGTTTATTACTGATAAGTTCATTGCTATCATTTTTCATTCGCCGCACAACAAAGCGTCTAGTTTTTCACTAACAAGTACACAACAGTATCACATGTGAAAATTACCAGCTGCATTGTAATGAGTAATGACTCGAAACATAATATTTTACACAAATCTGTTTCCATCATTTTTTACCTTAAATGTGTCGGAAAATTTTCGATTTTTTCTTCCAGTCTGCTTGAAAAGAATAATTTTCCACAAAAATGAGAGCAATCACGAAAAAAAAATCAATGTAAACGAGTAGTTTGCACGATCTTTTGAGATTATCCTTGAAACAGGACATGGTCGATATCGTGTTTGTACGATTTTTTTAACTTATTTGCAATTAATATCAGACGTTTTTCCCTAATGATCCTGGAAAATTTTCAACTTTGCCTCGATTTAAATGTACAGTTTCTGCGATGTAATTTGCATTTCATACAAAAAATTTTCTATGTATAAAAATCCTTACAACTTGAAGCAATAAAACACGTTTTTAGTTTATTATAGTTTTTAGTGGGACATTTCAAATTTTATTACACCTCGCCATCGGTAACCTATAAAAATTTTATGCCAAAAATGTAGGTGAAAGACTATTTTTAATTTTATAGTCAATCATCATTCGATGCAGAAAGCAAATTTAAAGTTACAAAATAAAATAAAAACACATGAACAACGAAGTCTCTTGCATGTTTCCTCATCAAAATTTATTGTAGTATTGAAGAGATTGAGTTTTTATCAAAAGTAATTTCATTATTTTTACAAGGAAATTTATCGGCAACGATCAAGCAACTCGATCAGGAAGAATGTGAAAAAAATCTAGAATTCCTTGAAAATTGGTTGAGTAAAATTTTTCAATACCGTGCTCATAGCAACACTTGTTTCCATTATTATTGTATGTGTTTTCATTTTTAAAATATAAAGTAACTAAAGATAAGCCAAATTGTTAATTTATCATATGGAAAAATATGAGATAAGAGTTTCGAGTTTCTGCATTCTATATTAAAAAAAATGCATTTTACACACCCAGTATATCAACGACATAAGTAAAGATAATATATTAATATTTATTAATCAGTTTATAATCTATATTCATAGTAAAATAATAGTTTTTCTGAAATAGTCCGTAAAGTAACCCAAAACGAACCGTAAAGTAGTACTTTTCGACCCCATATGTCACTAAATAAATCGTCCGTAAAATTGACAAAGAACTATGATTTTATTACCTCTCTTTAATTAATATCATATCTTGTTTTTTTTAATTTCATTTTTAACGCATCACGAAGATAAAAATTATCTAGAATAATACAAAACTCCTCATTAAAATCATCAAATCAATGTTAAAAATTGCAACTTTTTTCGTTAGTAAACACAATTTTATCAATAGTTATTAAATCTTCTAAATCTGTGTTTATTTAGTGTAACCACAATTGAAACTTTTCAATTAAATCCAAGCTGGAAATTGCTTGGATTTTTCCCAATCTTAGATTAAGTTTTAATCCGATTTTCCTGCGACAATGTCACAATCAATTTTATGGTAATTAAAACGTACTTAAACAGAAATGCAGGAATAATTGCAGTACGTTTTTTTTGTAGACGTCATTAAGTAATTATTCACGCTAATTACAAAACGAAAAATGACAATGACAAAAAAAATAATCACAATAAGAATTCATGTGCGCAACTTTAAGAAAGTCACAAAAATTCCGGACGTTCTTACACAAACACTATTCTAAAAATATTCTTTCCATTTAGTTGTCTTAAGGCCTAATCACATCACAATAGACGTAAAATAGTGCTTTTCCGGACTCATATGTCAGTAGTAAAAATTGTTAGTAAAATTGAGATGTTGCCAACTTGCTATACTCTGTTTCAAATTAACGTGCATCAAGTAGGTTATAGAAATCTAAATGTATCTTTCATTTAAAGGCCGATTCACACAAAAAGTGTCATTAATGTCATTCAAAGCAAATTTAATCACATCAGTAATGACAAAAATCTTCAAGTTTGCTACCCAATGTTAATTACGTTAATTTTAATAATTTTTTATACCTCAAAAACTGGGGTATTTGAGAAAATAATTTCTAGGGAAGATTGAGGTTGGGAAGGTTCGAATTTTTGCATAGTTGCCACCTTAAAATGATCCCTTTCAACGATTACTTCGATGCACATTAATATGAAAACGATTATATGCTTTCAAGTAAATTTCTTATCGAAGTGTCCTATGACTTTGAAATTAAGTTGGCAACATTAACTTATAATTCAAACGTCACATATTTATAGCCAATTGTCATTTTATTCCGACGAGCGACCGCTGGTCTAGCCGTCAGCTGATACAATCTATCACCGATGTTGCCAACTTAATTTCACCCTAATTTATTTGAAAGCATTTTTTTGTTAAATTGACAATCACTCTTGTTCTCAAAATTGGACATTCTAGATCCAGTTACATGTGAAAATTTGATAATAATTAACTAAAATTGATTGTTTTTTATTTAATTGCGGTCAGTGGTCGCAGTAAACAAAAACACCAATTGTTTTGATAAAAATTATGAAACGGTGAATGTTAAGTAACAAAATATGTGAATTATAGCAACATGAATGAGGTAACAGCGTTACTATTTACATAAGAGTCGGCTTCTTCGTAACGTAAAACCTGCAAGCGCCAATTCAGCACTTTCTTACATAAGGTTGCCCCCTCGAGACTAAAAAAAACCCAACGATTGACCCGTTTTTCGCCCAACTTTTCCACCTACTTGCCGAGACAGTCGTCGATATCGCCCCTGTTGGGCGTGAGCCCCCTGTACCTGCCCTTGCAGCTGAGGGGCATGAGCTCGTCGGCCGGATACGCGTTCTCCATGTAGGCCCTGTACGCGTGATAGAACATATCCCGGGTCTCCTCCCTGAGTCGGTGGCGCTCCGCCCGCGTCATGGGGCTGTTCTCCTCCGGTCGGCATTGTGCACAAAACCCCACCAAAACACTCACGCAAAACACCCTCACCAACACCTCCGAAGCACTCATTTTCGCGGTTTATCAGGAGTACGTCTCGGCGGACAGTAACATATTGAAAGAATATTTCTCTGACAGCTGATAAGGATTCCTTATCAATAACAATTGCTTGACACGGAAGGTACCGAGTCGGGGGCTTCAGGCATCCTTCTTGCGTCTGATGACGGCCAAATGAGGGGCACTGGCGATGGGGGAATCACACGAACACTGAGAATTTGGCGTAATTGAGGGAATTTTGAGCCATTTTCGAGAAAATGTGTCAACTTTTGTGAAAGAACTGGGATGACTGTTCCGATCTCAGCTGGCGCGAGAGGGGCGGCGCTACGGGACGGCCTGCGATTGGCCCATGCGAATCTGTCAAATGTCATTCATCAAATCGATTAAAAATTAAAAAATAATTATTTCCCACTTTAATTGTTAAATGAATCAATTAATTAATTAAAAACACGTACGAGAAATGCCCTAACACACCATAATCTAGTAATTGTACCATTTAACTTGGATGCAATAGTAATAGTAACTTTTAGAATTAGAGGTTGGTACCGAAAGTAATTTTTTGTTATACATAAGATTTAAAAAACGTGCATAAATAACACGTTTAGACCGGCTTTATACCCACACAGGTCTTCCTTCAAACAATAACTCAGTATAAATATATATTTTTTAATTGACATTGCTTTTCACTTAACATTGGTACGTCTTAAATTACTAAAATTGATAAAATCCAGTAGGCGGGTTTTTTAAAAACAATGAAAAAATTTTCCTGGACTAAAGCCAGGAATTTTATTTGCAAAAGTAAAACAGCGTACACATCGGTTAGGCATCATTTCCAATAAACGCTATAAAATATGTACATCTTTGGACGTTTAAGTTATAATACAAAAAACTCAAATATTTTGTACATTGTTCCAGCCAGTAATATCAATTTTATTGCTAAAATCGCTCTTTTCCTCCGTTTGTATTCGACAGTTTTGCAAAAAAACCGCCAAAGAGTGGTAATAACCGTGAGATGTCCACGTCTCATTGTGCGTTCCATCTGGAATTTGCAACAATTGTTTTCTTACACTCCTACAATTGTTGTACAATTCTGACATCATTCTTGGGGGAACCAGAGAATCGGCCATCCCTGATATGAATAAAGTGGGCACCCTTAAAAACTTCATTTTCTGATATGACAAAAACTGGAAGAAAAATCTTAGAAAAGGTAACAAAAAAGACAAGGTCAAACTTTGTTCTTGTAGAAAAACAAGGGGAAATACTGAAGCAACCTCCAGCCCAGCAGGACTTTGGCCATGTCTGGGATGCTAGTGAATGTGTTTTCAATAACTAAACACCAGATTTTACTGGCGTATTCTTCTCTACTAGCCAAATCCACTGCGACAGCCCCCCCGAGAGAGCGTCCAAAGACTATGATTTCAGAGTGGTTAATGTCACTCCTTGAGAAAATGTAGTCGAGACTAGCCTTGGCATCAAGGTAGAGCCCTTCTTCGGTGGGGTGCCCCTCGGACAACCCATACCCCCTGTATTCAACTAATTCCCATGTAGTTTAGACACCAAAAACACCAACTTACCAAGAAGTATGTTGCAATGGAGGTTGTGGTACAGCCCCCTGCAATTTTGCAACCGATGACCCATGTTTCCGGCATTTCCGTGAAAAAACACAATCGTTGGAGATAATCGTTGTCGGTCTTTGGGTTGATGAATGAAATACATGTGGATTAAGACCCCATCGCTGCCTCTGGTCTGGACTGTCTCGTAGGGAAGGCCTAGGGTTGACGGAATCGGGACGTAAACGCGGGAGTGACTAGGCAATTCAGGATAAAATAGGAAATTGTCTTGAACATGATACAAAACCCCTGAAACAAGGTGCTTAAGAGAGATTCACAAAAGGGTTAACCTACCTGTTAATGCGAAAAATAGTAAAATCACAGCAAAAACGCCACCGTATATGTAATACAAAAGGAAGCAAAACACCAATACGAGTCCTGAATAGGCCCAAACTTTCAAAATCATCTTGAAAAGGGTGCCGATAATTCGGGTTAGTTGCACATAACCTCCCATTTTGACCAAATAGTGAGACGACTTTCCTAGGAGTTAGATCGGTCCCCAAGACAACTTCATGACGCTTGTTGCGTGAATTTAATGAAATTCATGGTTTTTATTCACGAAAATTGTGAACACAAAACTATCGAAATCATAATTTTGACAGGCAGTGCCACCAACAACAATGCTTGTCCTTCAGGTGAATTGTGACAAATAATTACCTCAAATTTAGCTAATGGGAAGAATCAGCAACTCAAATTAATCACCCACAAGACATTTGTAGTATAAAGCAAAATTTACATATTTTTTTATGAATAATTTATTCAAGTTTAGTGATTTTACTAGTGCCGAGTTGGCACCCCATTGTATGTTTTTGGTGTTTTTCTTGAAACATGAACGAGAGTGAAACGTTTCAAACAATTCGGAAAATACTTCAAGAAATGAACATTTCCGCTTACGATGAAGACGTAGTGTGTTCTTTGTGCGACTTTACTTGTAATTACGTCTCATCAGTGTTGAACGAAGCCAAAAACTGTGCCTCAAACTCTGATTTAACACCCGAAAACATAAAATTTGCAGCAAATTACGTGTCAGAACGAATGGTATTTTGTGATTCTGATGAGATTCAGAAATGTGCCAAAAGTGTGAATAAACAGCCTTTGCCCGATTTTGCGCCACGGTATGGTCTAAATCTGCCACCAGAACGCTACTGCTTGAATAAAACGAATTATTGTTTACGAAAGAATTTTTTGTTTGAGATTGGTGAACAATAAAGTAATTTTTTCTTTTTAATTTTGAATTTTGACCATAAAGAGAGGTTTTGACATTTGACAGTGAAATGTGAATGACAGTTGAGACGTTACGTAACCTCACATAACTCAACTTTTAAAGAACAAATAACTCAGTTATGCTTTTAAATTCAAGAATTTAGATTATTTGGTTTATTAGTTCGTGATCAAGTCTTTTATTGGCAAAATTTCGAGAATATGTTAAATGAAGCTTCGAAACAAGGAATTCGTGAAATATTGTCGACTTTAGACGACAATACCCTATTTTCTTTATCTGGGACCGTAACTCAAGGTTTATTGAAGAATAGAATCAACAATCGCCAGGGTAAACCCTTTAATTTTGTAAAAATAACAAATAACCTCACTTTCCCAGACGCCACCAATGCCATTTTAAACTACTCCCCGGACGCTTTGAGTTTTTTACGACGTAAAATCATAACTCGCGAATTGCTATTCTCGTATCTACATGCAAAGAACGTCCCTGTTGACCTCCCAGCCACGAAAAATGACCTCATTCGAAAGACAGCTCAATTTTGGAGCGTTGAGTATATCCAAGAAGCCCTCATTGGGGCCAACCAAGCAGACAGCGGCTCAGTATCTCTCCTCGCCCAACAGTTCACCAAATGGTTTTACTCCATGTTGAACAAAAACGAGTGTTTAAACCACGAACATTTATACCCCGACGCAAGACTCACAATAAACATGTCAAATAATGGACAAGTATCGACGGAAATAATCGAAAATGACGCGGTGAAAGTCGTCCAACGGTTGTATTCCTTACGTTCAAATTTTAACTTATTTTTCAATCCCAACTTGTCTAGTGATGGGGTCCAGGGACGCGTGGACCCCCATGGGTTGGTGCTAGTATTAGTTTGCGGGACGCTACACACGGACGCGACTTGTGTCGGGGTTTTTGAGCAAGTTTTTGCCTTGGCGAGGGACCCCCAAACCGAAAATAATTGGAAGATTAAAAGCAGTGAAATTGTCTTGAAAAGTGAGAGTGGGGTGAGGGAGTTGCCTGTGTTGGCCAATAGTAAGTTATTGGCCCTAACGTGAAACTAATTTAAGTTTAAAAATGTGAATATTTAATTTGTTACGAATTGTTTAATGAAAAAACGTTCAAATAAGATGTTTGGGTTTGTTACTTCTAACAACAGGGGGGCCAAAGACTCGCGTGTTGCGCTTAAGGACAGGAACGTATTCGACGTCGTCTTCGTCTCTAGAGGAACGCATGGAGACAAGAGGCATGTCACTTGATAGTTTCTTTGTTCTTAATTGCATTTCTTCATTTTTGGCTGAAAAAAATTAACTTATTTGAGGTTTTTTAACACACCCAACTTACTTATATATGCAATTTCGTCGTAACTGTTAAGTGGATCAACTCCAAAGAAAGTATAAAGATGGGTGTGGTATTTTATATCAACTAAAGTAACAATTGTTGCAATCACTAAACACAAAATCCCTGAAAAAAAAAACAAACATTTTTGTTTTATAAATTCAATAGTGTTTACCTGAACTAAAAGTCACCCAATAACTAGCCCCAAACTTGGTCGTAATCGTCGCATCCTCAAAGGGAATCACCAAAGGAATGGGGTTTCTCACAAGTAACCAAATTAAATTCGCCGTGAGTTGGAGAGCCCCACAAGCCGCTAAACAGTAGCCCCCATACAAAATAACCGATCTGAATAACAACAAAGACAGCAACCAGCAGGCAAAAGCACACCATAGAGCCACATGGGAGTACCACCCCGCCGTCCTGTAGAATCTCCCAAAGCGGAAGCCCTCCCCATCTATTACAAAATAATCCACGACCCACAAAATCGGGGTTGGGAGCCCCCTGTATTGCGCCGCGCGGAACTCCTGTTGCAGGTGTCCCGCGTAGGGGCCATACCCAAACCGGCCTTGGTCCCAAGTCCACGAAAACCTCTCATTGTAGTTGATTATCTCGTTTGCGAGGGTGGGGGGCACTTGATCGGATTTTAGGGTCACGTTGACGCTCCTGAGACCGATTTTGACGCCAATGGAGGCGTTGATTTCGGCCGAGGAGCCGGCTTTGTAGGGGGTTCTAGTCCTGATGTGCCCCACTTCCCATTCCTGGCCGAAATTTCCAACTATTGGAGGTTTTAAGGTACTTGATACTGAGGTTTGGGGTACTTACGGAGGAGGCAGACACCGATTGTTAGAAGGAGTGTTACTCGAACCAATCGGGCCAAAGTCTAGATTTTTATTATTAATTATTACACCAAAAAAATTGTGTTTACCTTTTTTAAATCAAACGTTGGTAAAACGATGAGGAAAGAAAGTAAGAGAATGATAAAAGCGGCAATAAAACCGGATTCTAGGACGTCGACGGTGACGGGGGTTGGTTTAGGGGGGTACTGGGTTGGAAACCCCTCACTTCGTCCCAAATCGAACCACATTTTAATAAATTTTATTACATGTGATGTGTTAATTCAGACACTCCTTTTAATGTAAAACCCAAACTTCCTTTCCCGCGAGATAAGATACGAATATTTGATATTCAAATGTTTGTGAAATCTTTTTTTTTTAAATACTCAACGCGTTTTTGAACAAATTAAAATCATTCGTTTCGTTTATGTAATTTGAAGATTTTATTTCACGAGCGAACGAAGTGAATGAAGAAATAATCACCTATTTTTTTTTTCTTAAATTTACACAAACTCTCATGAAGTATTGACCTTCAAGTTAAAAAAATATATATTTATTTTATAGAAAATTGACAGATTAGTAACCTAGTGCGTGGCTTGAAATTATTTTGAACTATACATGTCCCAAAAACAAGTCACAATACAAACTTTTTTATGTAATGAAATAAGTTGGTTTTTGACGGAAACATACTTAAAAAAAATACACAAAAATTACTTTAGCTAGAAAAAGAAAGTACAAACATTAGGGCTATAATTTTTTTAATGTAATTATACAAAAAATAAGGTATTCTATTTAATTTTTTAAGTTATTTAACTTTTGACAAACATTTTTTTTCTTTACATTAGAGTAAAAAAATTCTATAGCCTTTGTTTGTACTTTTTTCTTTGAGTAGGCGTCGATTAAATTCTACAGTTGGCAACATATTGGCTGGGAATCTGGGCTGGAAATTTTCCACACAAACTGAAAGTGAAAATGACCATTCACCGTTTTCGTCTTGTACAGCAATAAAAAATTTTCTGCTCTAAAGTGAACATTATTTAACTCAAAAGGAATAAAATGCAAACTTGTCAGTTTCCGCTGACATATGATGTCAAAAATCAGGATTGCCATCTGAAGGACTTTAATCACCGCCTATTCTAATTTATTATTATTTTTTGACCGCACGATACTTAAAAAAATAACTTATTGCAAAAGCTATTCAAAATCTACCAATAAAAGTTTAGCTTAAAAACCGAAGTATCATTAAAAAAAACAAAAATGTGTAGTGTCACTTATTTTTGGGACATGTATAGTAGATTAGTATTTATCAATTTCCTATATATATTTTTTAATTTAAATAATGACTTTACCAACTGGCTGTAATAACCCTTGTTCAAAATGTTTAACTTAGCAACAGGGTTGCCAACTTAATTTCAATATCGCAGCTTACTTTATTTGAAACGACATTCACAAGAGTATGCAACACAAGCGTAGCGAGTGGTGTAATTCATTTAAGAATTGAAATTATTAGAGGGGAGTAGAATACACAATTTTTTCCACTATTGGGAAAAGTACGAAAATTATTAATATTTTTGAGAGGTATTGAGTATTGTTTATACGCACTCTGAGAACAATAAAAAAACTGGGTCAACTCTTTTATTTATTAATATCGGTTAGAATATTAGAAAATGGTCCCTTATCTTAATAACATACACAATGTCAGACATACACACATGTACAAATGTTCAGAACCCAATGTGACTGTGCTATTAAAAATATTTTATCACAAGATAATGCTTATATCCAAAAACAACAACAAAACCAATAAAGAAAAAAAAACAAAGAGCAGCATTAAATGGTACCATAGCTCTTAAAAACAAAAACGCATATTTGGTTTATAATGCAGGCAAAATGGAATGTTAATTAGTAGTATTTTAGACAGGTCGCTGCACCCTTAATACTTGAATTTGGTTGCAGTAGAGGTAGTTATAGGCCAACCTGTGCCCGCCCGAATTTGGAATGTAACAGCCAATGAAATAAATACAAACACAACAAAAAAAAAAACCCTAACCTACGGCCAATCTATGAGCTAAAAATTTGTTAACTGATGGGGACGGCACACGCTGCCTCCAGTTGCTGTTTGCGGTGGTGGTACATGTGTACGCGTAGACAGCTTCTGTTTCGCATAACCTTACCACACACTCTACAGTCTAAGTCGCTGGGGCTGTCCTCGTGTTTGTCTCGGATGTGCACCTTCAGATTATAACGATTGACGAACTTGCGATAACAGTACGGGCAGTAAACGTATACTTTCTGCTCCGGCGAGTATTTCTCATCTGAAACCAAGCAAAATAGAATGAAAATATTAACAGAAGACTGTATATTACCTTACAGCGCGGTATTTACAAAACCCCAGCACACCAACAACCAAAGACACTAAAGCTATTTTCTGCTTCAAGTTTTTATCTCAAGATAATGAAACATCTTTTGCGAGATATCGACTTGAAATTGAGGCCATTCGATTTGATTTTTTTATGAAAAACGCATAACTATTAAGTTTATTCTTAATTAATCCTAATTAATTACTTTGTATCAAGGAATACTGACAAGACGTTTTTTTCCAAAATACACGGTGGCCCAATGAAAACGAGCCACCCCGAATATCTCAGAAACTAAAATTATTTTGCTAAAACGTCAAAACGGGTCAATTTTGTTTCCGATGGGGACATTTTTTGACGTAATTTTTAAAGCACTCCCCCTAGTGACCCCCTACCCTCCACGCACCCCAACTTTAAAAATTTAAATGGCACTACCCCACTTGTGGCACATCAAATGAAAGCTATTTTAACAAGATTTTCATAACTTTTCACCAAAATTGAATCAGACCATCCATTTATGAGATACAGAGTGTTCTAATAAAAACAAACCACCCTAATTTTGTTTTTAAGAGACATTTTTTGACGCAATTTTAAAAGCACCCCCACTAACCCTTTAACCTCTATGCCACTTAATTCTAAAATGTCAAATAGCACTAACACACTAAGTGATACACAAAATAAAAACACTTTTTAATTGCTTTTGAAAAGCTTTTTTCCAAAATGAAATGATTTTTATACATTCATAAAATATCGGCCAAAAAAATAATCTTTCAACAGTCACTATGTTCAGATGAACTGTTTTTAGGTACATCACCCATTAAAGAAACAAAAAGTTTGTCACAACTCCAATAATAATTATTACAACATTAGTAAGTTTCTTGTAATTTATTTTAATAGTTTTTATTAGAAGTAATTACTAATTAGAAACATTACCTTTTGCGGATATCTTATGAATAATTAATCCCATTCAACTTTAGAATAAGGATTCAAACAATATTTTGAGTGAGTCGGTGTCATTTAAGGTGGAGGAAGTTAAAGTGTTAATGGAGGTGCATTTAAAATTGCGTTAAAAAAATGTCCATTTTAAAAACAAAATTAACCTGTTTTGGGTTTTTTTCTAGGGTGTTCGTTTTTTTAGAACATCCTGTATCTCATGAATGAATTGTCTGATTCAATTTTGGTAAAAACTTTTTAAAAGCTTGTTAAAATAGCTTTCATTTGATGTGCCATAAGTGGGGTTAATTTTTAAAGTTGGGATGCGTGGAGGTGAGGGGGTTACTGGAAGTACTTTAAAAATGACGTTAAAAAATGTCCGCCTTGGAAACAAAATTGACCTGTTTCGGCGTTTTTGCAAAATCTTTTTAGTTTCTGAGATATTCGGGGTGGCTCGTTTACATTGGGTCACCCTGTATATACCACCGAAATCTTTTAACGTTTTTTCAAGACACTTGTACAATTTTCAGTTTTCTTTGTAAACTTCTGTGCCACTAGGAAACACAATTTAGGAAACTTAAAACTCAAAAATAGACTTCTTTAAAAAAATTATTTACTTTAAAACAATCAATAATTGGAATGTGAAGTGAATGTCGCGAATTTTGTGGTATTTTAAAAATAAGTTGTATAATTTTTGGAAAAAAACCGAAAATGTGGGCAAAAACCAAACCAAAAACTTTGGATAACCAATTTATTACTGACATGAAATACAAGGCACTTACACTATATAAAACGAAATTTAATATAAATCACCATAACAGTTATATAATAACAATAGAAAAAATTAAATAACTATGTTTTGTGTCACTACAGTAGTATTAAATAGTCTTTTTCTGGTAGTTGAAAATACAAAATAAACCTGACTAGCAATAATAAAAGAAAATGTCATGTTCTTAGGTCGAAACTGATTAAATAAAAATACAAATTCTAAACCTAACACTTCAAAACAAGTGACGGCCCTAAAACCTATCTAATTAACATCAAAACAATTCAAGCCTTCACCTCGACCTTCGGATTAACTTCGCTCATTTTAGGAAAATGAAACTTGGCGATGTGTTTTCGCAAACTTTCGGTATTTTTATACAATTGCGAACAAATGACACAAACGAACGGTCCCGCATCCTCTCCATGGATGTTTTTTTCATGTGTCCGTAGATGATCTCTTCTTGAGAATTTTTTGTAGCATTTCTCGCACTGATACGTATGTCTGTTGACGCATTTCGTTTCCGGTTTCCCTAAATTCAACAAAATTAATTGCAAATCGGCTGCGGTGTGCACAACATGCGACTATTCTTACTTCGGACAGTCCGAGTTTTGCGACCAGAAAGTTGTTAGATAGGCAAATTAAAACACAATTGTTAGTGGTGGAAGTTTATTTGGAAACTATGATACAGGAGGAGTCATGATGATATGCCAAGATGAGCCCTGATTTTTAATTCATAACGAGGCACTTTTACTTAATAAAAATCTTTTCTATTTTCCTCAATTTATTCTTATAATCACGCATCTTATTTGAATCACCGTATACACAAAATGTGTTAAACTGTAAAATTAAAAAAATAAATAACTCAATGTGTAATTAAATATTTACCCTGTATAAAAAATACTCTAAAGTTGTGAGTGAAATTGTCAAAAATCAAACCCCACCTCTTATAAATGAATCAAAAACATTTCTCTTCAACAAATTTCATAAGCAATATAAAATATCACAATTCAACAATTATTGTCTGATTTTTCAGTACAGTTTATCACATTTCTCGAGTTGTTTAATTCTGTGTCTATCCGACTTCAATTGTCTATGAATGGTAATGAGATGTGTCGTTAGACTATTTGCTGTTTTAAATAGTTTATGGCATAAATCACAGGGCAATTGTTGTGTTGGAAAATGAACATCGATCATGTGTCTTCTTATACTGCTTTTTCGCATCACTTTTCCACAAGTGAGACAAGTGGCTGTAAAAATTTGCATCAAAAGACTTGATAGGTATTAGTAATTGTTACACAAACATCCTACTTACCATGCAAGTAAAACAAACAACAAAACGCAAATAAAATTACAAAAAAATAACACAAAAAACACAAACTGAAAAATAAAACGTCTGCAATGACGACCGAAAATTAATTTTTATTACAAATATTACAAGAAATGAATCAGCAATATTTCGACGTCATTTTCGCAGACTGCATAAAACCGGTTTCAACACAATCGTACAATTTCAAGCGTAAATAAATAATAATTAAAATACGAAGCGACTACATGCTAAAAAACATCACACGGACTCACCTTGATCGCTTAAGTTTCCTTCAGTGTTAGGAACACTTGTAAAATTATTTTCTAAAATCTGTTTCAAGTTATCTTTGGCTTCGTCCAGTTCAGTTGCAGTTTTTTCAGACTTGAGGGTAGAATCAGCAAAGTCGTTTTCGTCATTTTGGGTCGTATTGCTTTCAGTTTCCATTTTTATCGTCTTAGGCAATGACTCGGATTTGGCTCGTTTATTACTTAAATTTTGGATCGACGATTTGGCTTGACGTTTGATATTTGGGGGCGGCGTAGGAACTCTAGAGGTTGCATAGGGCGGTAACTCCACGTCTGAGTCTATCAGGTGGTTGAATTGAGACAAGTCGGTGTCGTCGTCGTTATCGGCGATCGACTCCGATTTGTCGTCTTTGCGGGACGATGTCTCACTCTAAAATAAAAAACAAACTGTTGAAACGCGAACGAGCGAAGCGAGGCAAAGACCAAAAATGTCTTATCAATCAATCAATTAAGGTTAGAAAGGTGCTCTCTTTGATTAATGTTTTTTTTTTTGTTATTAATAATAAACTGGTCAAATCGGTTATTCATTTCTACAAAAGTTATACAGGCTGTCCGAAAAGTGTCCCGGAAATGATACTGTGTCATCGGGCGGTGCCCTAAACAACAAGAAAAATGTTAAAAAAATCTATTTATAAAAATTTCGAAGTTATGAGAGTTTAAATTTTGAATTTTGACTCTATTTATTTCTGTTGGAAAAATAATTTTCCAAGTTTTTTTTGCTACCCTCTATTAGAAAAGGAAACAAAGAAGCTATATCCTAAATTGTAACTCTGTTTAATGTTATTTGTAGCTTTTATTGACAAAATTTTTGTACCTTTACTAAGTAATTTAAAAAAAAAACATATACAAAATTATCAGTACTATTAAATAGTCATAAAAAGTGTCAAATGTCAAAAAATAAATGTTAAAAGTTTTTGACAGATAGAATTTTTTAAACATTTTTTCAGTATTCTGGAAGACTACCCAATTACTCCCTTTCAAGGAGGTGCGCGACTTTCCGGCCACCCTGTATTTCGATGTAATAACACATTATTTAATTAGTATAATACAACCCAGATGATAAATGAATTATTAGCCCGAGGACTCAGCACAGAGCGCGAAAGCGTTCCACCGAGGTCGCTAATAAAACTTTCTCATTTATAGTATATTACTATCAAGATGGAACATATGTCATTAATGATGTTTCCACGGTAGATTATACAGTATGTCCCCGGATTGAGTTTACAAGAGGATATTTTTTTATCTTTAATTTTACGCCGAAACTCCAAAGAAAAAACATTTTTTGCTACATCTGAAACGAACAAATCTGTAATTAAAACCATTATTCTAATTCAGTGAAAAGAAAAGTTAATTTTTCTCTTGATTTTGGACTTAGGATAATTTTTTCTGCTTTTTATGTCCTGTCACATTGGCGGTTTTATTTATTTGACAACTATATGTCATTTTCACAATTAATGTATTAGTTAAATAATTATAGTTCTTGTTATAAATGACTGTTTTTTCCTTAAAGCTGTTTCTTTGAGTTGCTATTTATTAAAATTATATTTTTTACTTACATTTTTGTTATTTAACTTGCGTAAACTTATTTGTCAAAGTGACATCATTGTCACAAGTACAAAGTACAAGTTTCTCGTTTCAGGTAAAGCAAAAAATGTTTTTTCCTTTGCATTTTTTATGTAAAATCCAAGATAATTTTTTTTTCTTATAAACTCAATCCGGGGACATATTGTATACTATTTAATTCGCTATCATTTCGTTTAAATAATAAAATATCTGTTTTTATGTCCAAGTTGATGCATTGACGTAGTTGCAATGTAAACTAATTGTGTTTTTAATGGTTTTGTAACCACAGTAATCCCATATAAATTACTTTCCGACCAAGGGATGCAATGACATATTTCCCGATCTCCAATAGGTTAAAAAACCTAATTTCAATGTTTGATAAGTATTTATGCCAAAATCAGTGATAATTTAGATTAAAACAAATCGTATTTTAAATAAGAATCAAGTTTTTTATGAATGTCAAAATGACAAATTCTAAGCTGTCAAAATGGATTCTACAGGGTGTCTTCTTAGTATTGTAAAAAATTGCAACCACATATTCTACATCGAAAAATAACATTAATTTGTCAAATAAACGATAGTCCAACAAAGCTTCGTTAGGAATATACAAAGTGATAAAGTTTCAGGATAAAAATTAAAATTCACTAGTTCTTCTGAAACCACACTGGATATTTTTTTCTTTTTCTTAATATTATTTTTCGATGTAGAATATATGGTTGCAATTTTTCGCAATATTAAAAAAACACCCTGTAGGGACATCAAATGTGAAATGGCCTTTAGTAACTATCAATGATTGTGATGATGTTTGACGTTTTGGAGCTTTTAAAAAGTCAAATTTTACGTTAAAGCCTACTTTACAGTGAATTTTCAGAAAATGTCAAATTTTGTTGTCCCATTTTTTGTTCGGTATAGTACTTAGAACAGGACCATTTTATTTTTTCAACGCAATTCAACAAGTGATAAATCTCTGGTTAAAAAATAGTTTTAACATTTCAAACACGTATTCAATTTTTTAAATAATAATAAAAATGATGACAAAAGTTGTAAAAATATCACTAATCGAAACAAATTCAAGGAAATGACAAATGAACACAGTAGATAACATTTTTATCAACATTATCACACAAACCACATAAAAGTAGATCATAAAACCGGAAAATTTAATTGGTAATGTTGTAAAACTGACTCACGATAAAAAAAAATACTAGCAAAAAAATTTACAACACATTAATTTTTTTGTAGTTTAATGACGGTATTGGGGCTTGAAAGTTCTAAAAAAACATTTTTTTTGTGTGATAGTGGCAACCCTGGTGATGATTAATGTCACCAGACATCTAGATAAATTTTTTTGCAAAACATTGAAAATTTTGATTTTGGCAACCCTGGTAGGGTCGATGATTAATAACATCAGACAACTAGATTCAAGACAATTTTTGCAAAACGCTGAATATTTTGATAGTCGCATAATTGAAAACATGTTTTGTCTGCGACACAGTAAACAAATTTATCGTTTGGAAAATTCCCAGTCTTACCGAGTCATCTCCCGTCAATCCCTTGACTTGGAGTAGTTCCGCCGTGCGCAGAAACGTGGCCAAATTCTCCCTGAGAACATTCACTTCCCCCATGTACATGAACTCCAGGATGTCCTTCATGTTATCATGAGCAACGTCCTTGAGGATAACAATGGGGTGTTTGCACGGATTAACTTTAAACATTTGCTTGAAATAGGGACTACATATCGAGAGGACGACTTTATGCGCTTGAAAAAAATGCCCTTCCACAGCCAACGTAACATCGACCATTTCCGAGGACTCCAGCAATTCGTGGAAGCCCGCAGTGAGGTTAGAATGAAAATTATTCCAACGCAACGAAAACTGCTCAGTCGTGGCCATTTTGCTAAATAACAACAAAAGGTTAAGTCTCCATAAATAACTCGGGAAAAAATAGGTCGCTTACTCACCCTTTCCTCAAAATTATCACAATGTAAACACGCAAAAAACCGAATTATTACTCAACAAAACCTCGCGTAAAGGCGTAAAACGACGACTTACATAACACGGACCAATTTTCCAAACACAACACTTGTAAAAACACGAGTGCAACCCTAATTATTCATTTCCGGGACCAATCCGGGCATCCGGGATGCGTGATTGACTGGTGACAACTGAAAACAGTGCTACCAACCGGCGCTGAAAACCGCCAATGGCGGGAGGTTTGAAACTGGAGCTTTATTCATTCTTATCAAAACTATACACATACAAATAGAAATATTTATTGGTTCAGTCAATGGATCACTTGGTACTCGAAAAGTCCGAGAAGCTGCCACGAGACATCGAAGAAAATTCACCAGGGCTGAAGACGTCGCGACGCTTTGTTATCACCCGTTTCAGGATATCGGCGACGCCGGTGTTCAGCAACGCGTTTATGCAACTACTGCTTGAAGACTGAGGGGCGGACTTCTGCAGTTGCTGCCTCTCCTGAGACTCCATAGCGTACGAAAATGACCGCTCTCTTTGCACTATCACTTCGTCTTTGACCGAATTCTAGATTAAAAACCACAAAATTAACAAAGTTCTGTTTCACATTTAATAAAAATTTAAAAAAAAAATGGTAGTTATGCAACCAGTTATACATGTGTATCAGACTGATTACATAACCTCACTAGAAGTCCCAATGAAATTTGGACTTACGTGTTGCGAATACGGTGCAGAATAGTACGAGTCGTTCTTCGAGTCGTCAAACTCGTGGTCCGCCCTCTTGAGGGCATTTTGTAGGATTTCAGTGATCCTCTGTGCACACTTGATCGCTTCATTGATCTCATCCACTGTTAACATGACTTGTTCCAGGGACATTTTTTCGGTGAATTCGCGTTGTGTACTGCACGTACTTTTCGCGTCTGAGAGTTCATCACCGGTCCGATCTTCATTCGAGGTACTCAAGTATGGACTTGAGAGATACCGACTCCTCGCACTGTTATAATTCAACCAAAAATTATTCCACTCGCCCACTTTGTTATCGACATCGGAGACTTCGGCCGTGGTGGCGCTCCCAAAGTACTCGCTGTTGACGCTCTCGATCCAACTGAGGTAGCTTGAGCCGGGACTCATGAGGGTTTTCTCCTCCCTGCCGGTCTCGGTGGTGCTGCGGACCGCGTAGTCGGTGCAGTCGGACGATGAGGACTCCATGGAGCTGCACTCGCGGCTCGGGTAGAGGGAGGACGTGGAGAAGGAGCTTTTGGTTTTGTACTCGGATATGGACTCCAAACTAAGCCTAAAGAACTGATTGAAATAACACGAAAAAAATTAATAATTTCATGAAACCTGTAGGTGCTATCCAGCGACTTGCGATACCCCTTCTCCTCCCCATTCAGACTCGCCTCCTTGTCGATCTTCTTCGCCGCCCGTTTCACCGTCCCCGTGCGACTGAACACCGGCGCCGCCGAGCCAAAGAGCGTCAAGTCGGTGAAGTCGTTACTCTCTCGCATCATCAACGCCTGATTCGGCGAACTGTTGGACGATTCTGAGTGCGAATTGGAGTCTTTGGTACTGCCTTCGTGCGACATACTCCACACATTGATTTGGACTTTTGACTATTTATCGCCGTCGGGGGTTCAGTGGTACTAAGGGCGAGGTGTGTGGTCACGCTCCAGGAACTAAGAGTATCCATGCCAACGATTAACCGACGCAAATCTTCACGAATCGCTGGGTATCCATCGCCGTTAAATCAATAGGAGGGTTAATGTGACGAAAATAGGCCGGGCTTGCGACCGAACCTTCAAAACTTGAACGAAATAATCAGCCGGGTCAACATTGGAGTTCAAGTCAAACACAGTTTCAGCTACATAAATTCTGTATTTGATAATATTTCAGTTACACATAACGGGTTAATGAATCGTACGGCCTGAAACCGAGTCTCACAGGTAGTTAGAATTATAGTCATATATCTACAGGTGAGAGATTGAAGTTTATGATAAGAAGGCACCGCTGAAAGAAGACGGGGAATTCAATACAATCGCCTAAATTGTTGAAAACTGAAAAAATCGCGATCGCAATGAACTAAAATAATTCATTCACACTAAATCTGGATGAATTTATTAATCGTATAAATACTATGTACAAACTAAAATCCATTTATTGCTAAAACATGATGGAACATTGCATGATACACAAAACCCTTAAAGAAAATACAAATAATATCAGAAGAGTCATTTCTGTAGGAATAACATGTATCGGTACCTGCGGTTTATATTATTGCCAACTAACAAACCAAAACCACTCGTCCCTTTTTCTAAAAATTGCAGAAACATCTAAAATGTTTAATTTTAGGCAACAACGCTTGTTTTTTTTTTTTAATTTAATCACTATACACGAAACACACACCACAATAATAGTGCGTAGATTCACTTATTTACTTAAATATAAATCAGTCATTTAATCTTAGCTACTCTAGCAGCGCCCTAGTTGAGGAGACTAGACCTACGCTTGGTGCGACAATATGATGATGCGAGTACATTATTGCGAAATACAAAACTGAATTGACTTGAGTGGAACTTTGTATCAGCAAAATATCAATCATTGGCGTCATTTTGTCGACGGACGCTTTCCCAACATTTCCCAACTGGAAAACCGCCCGAAATTGGAGTTTACGAAGCTGATTAGATTGTCACGATAAGCAATGGAAAACACTTTAGACGTTTCGTGCCAATCGGACCAGAACTTCCGACAAATCAAAAATAAGGCAACCAATGTGGGAAAACTAACCCTTCTTTGACTATGGTGGTGGGGAAGACGAAAAGTTGAGTCAGAGTTCTGGTCTAGGTGTACTGATGTTAGAAATAAATTGTGACATCAATACCGAAACAAACTACGCATATATACAGGGTGTCCAGCAAAGACAGAGGAACTTTTTTCTTATTTTGATCTAGGGAACCTCCCCCAAAAACGTTTCAACGTTTTTCCCGCACACCCTGTATATCGTCCAACCAACAACTGTAACCAATTCAACCGACAACCTACCAATCCCAACTACTTACATGTCTAAAGTGAAAATATCCTCATATGTTCTAACAAATAACAAATTAGGTACAAATATACGCGCGATTCAACAACACTCAAGATCGTTCACGGATGCGTATTGAAGCAGCTAATATAGTCTTCTAGGCGTTGGACTCTTTGAGATCTTGTAGTCGGGCCAGCTGATGGGGCTCAAGTTCGTCGGGGATGCTAGCCCTGCCGCCGACCACCTGTTTGGGTTCGCTGACCACATGACTCACCGAATTTTCGGCGGTGCTAGGCCCCGTCGTCTCACCATCGCTGCCCGTGCTACTACTGACGACAAACGGCGTCGAATCGCCGTCGGGTTCGGCCGCCACCGGTGTCTCCTCCTCGTCCTCTTCAGGTATGGGGGCGGTTTCCTCGCGATGGTTGACAGGTGGGTCTTCAGGGGGTGGAAATGGGTGTTCGGGTTCTTCCATCATGGGCGTGGCGGCGGTTATTACGATTTGGGCCACGCCGAGGCCTAAATCGTCCTGTTGTGGGTCGGATTCAGGACCGGCTTGATCATCCTAACCAAGTAAAATAAAGTGAAAAATTGAAAAACCCAAAATGGTTTAAGACAAATTACCTCACCAACGATTTCGACGCTCGGAACGTCGATCGCTGCATGAAAAGGTAATAAAAATGTGAGATTGGGGAGATTATTAGGGATTCCCAATAATTTTCTACTTACTCGGAATTTGTCCTTGAAATTGACTTCCGTATTGTTGGTGTTGGTTGCGGGACATCTCCATGGAGAAGCTTCCCTCGGGAGAGGCTGAACCAGCTTTGGTTTTAAGAGCCGATGGTGGTTCTTGGGGGTGTTCCACAGACGGTGTTGGTTGTGTGATAACCACCTGAGAAATTAACAATTAAATTTATTTTTTTCGGTAAAGGAGTCTTACTTCAGCTGCTACTAAAAAATTGGGGACATCAGGTGGTGTGAAAACGGGTGGTGCAGACTGGGGTGGTGTTTCGTCCCACTGATTCGTCAATGGTTCTCCGAATTCGTCGCATTCTTCCACCACCAATGAAGGAAAGTTTCCGATTCGACCTTCCAGTTCTCCCTTCCACCATCCATCATCGACACTATGTGCACATTTACTCAAAACTTTGATTATTTGACCCTCTTCGAAAGTGAGTTCTTCGCCACCTTCGCCGTCATAATCGTAGAGGGCAATGCAGTAGGATGCTGCAGGTGGGTCTGGGACGGTGGCTTGCTGAAAATGGGTTTAAAATATAATTAATTAATTTTTTTAAATTTCTTACCAGTGAAATGACTGAGACTTGTTCTGGCGACTGATTTGTCGTCTCTGACGGTGCTTGCACTTCCTCCTCGTTATCTACGGTGTAGTCTACCGATGAAAATGATATTTGATTGACTAGTCCTGGCGTCGTCGCCGTCTGTTCTCGCTCCACGTCCAGGTAATTATGTGGTACGTATCCTTCCTCGCCTTTGTAATTGCGCGCTCGTAACCACCCATCACCATCACCTTCACCTACCACTTCCAGTTGTTCGTTTTCGACGATCGTCAACTCGTCCGGGTTTTGTGCCTGTCAAAGAGATGCAATTTGTTTGATGTTTCAGATGCAATCGATACTACAAAATGGAAAAATTTATTTTGAAAAAAAATATCCACTAGTTCAGCGTTTCCCAAACTGTGGTTCGCCGAAAAAAATGCTGATTAGTTGATTATGCATAATGAATTATGCAGTTTATTGAGTGTAATAAAGTCTATTCAAAATAAATAACCTGATCTTTTATTAATCCATTTATAAAAAAATAAAATTTATGGCACAAGCGAAATCTTTCAGACCGTAATTAAGACCTAAATCAACGAATCTTTTATTTGTTTCAGAAAAATAATCCGTCGTCGATTTGAAAGAGTTTCTAGTTCAAAAATATGCTACCTGTCCAGAAATATCTGTACTGAAACGACGATTTTTTGCCTTGTTTTGGCAAAAACTTAATTTAAGTGAGTTCCAAACGCAATAACGTAAAAAATCCCTCAAAAAACGGCCAAAACAGCATTATTAACTTAAATTAAGGTGTTTTTCAATTGTTTCAACAAAAATTTGTCGATTTTAAAGAATTTCTGACTGAATCAGAGCGTAATTAAGATCTAAATTAACATTTTTTTTTTATTATTTCAGGAAAATCCGTCGATTTAGAAACGTTTTTGTACAAAACAGAGCGTAATTAAGACCTAAATCAACAATTTTTGACTTGTTTCAGCAAAATCTGTCGATTTAAAAAAGTTTCTGACTGAAACACTGTGCAATTAAGACCTAAATCAACACTTTTTTTACTTGTTTCAGCAAAATCCGTTGATTTAAAAGAGTTTCTGACTGAAACAGCGATTTTTTTACTTGTCTCAGCAAAATTTGTCGTTTAAAAAGTTTCTAAAGTTCATAAACATGCCAACCGCTCAGAAATGGCTAAAATAGCATCGTTCAGAACGAAAACGACAAATTTTTGGCAAAAGCTGTTAATTTAAATGTTTTAACCGCAATAACGTGAAAAATCCTTCAAAAAAAGTATCAAAACAGCGTAATTAAGACTTAAATTGATAAAATCTGTCAATTTGAAAAACAAATTCTGACTTAAACAGAGTGTAATTAAGACCTAAATCAACGAATTTTTATAATTGGTTCAAAAAAATTCGTCGATTTAAAAAAGTGAAACAGCGTAATTAAAAATTTAATTTAATATAAAAATCGACTATTTTTATTTGTTTCAGCAGAATTCGTCGATTTAAAAGAGTTTTCGACTGAAAAACAGCGTAATAAAGACCTAAATCAAAGATTTTTTATTTGTTTCGGCAAAGTCTATCGATTTAAAAGAATTTAATAATTATATAAGACCTAAATCGACTATATTTTAAATTGTATCAGCAAAATCCATCAATTCAAAACAACTTCTGACTGAAACACAGCGTAATGAATCCCATAAATCCCAAATCAACAATTTTTTTAAATTTGTTTCAACAAGAAACAGTTGATTTAAAAGAGTTTTTGACTGAAACAGCGTCCTAAATAAACAAATTTTCCACTTGTTTCAGCAAAATCCGTCGGTTTAAAAAAGTTTTTGTCTGAAACAGAGCGCAAAGAAGGCCTAAGTGAACGGTTTTTTTAAATTGTTTCAACAACATCCGTCGATTTAAAAAACATTTTGACTGAAACAAAGCGTAATTAAAACCTAAATTAACATTTTCTTTTTACTTTTTCCAGCATAATCCGTCATTTTCTGACTGAAACAGCGTAAATAAAATCCGAATCAACGATTTTTTGTTGTTTTAGCAAAATGTGTCAAATTAAAAAGTTTCTGACTGAAACAGCGTAATTAAGACATAAATCAACAAGTTTCTTCATAGATTTAAAACAGTTTCTGACAGAAACAGAGCGTAATTAAGACCTAAATCAACAATTTTTTACTTGTTTCGGCAAAGACCATCGATTTAAAAGAATTTATGACTGAAACAGAGCGTAATTAAGATTCAAATTGACTATATTTTAAATAGTTTCAGCAAAATCCATCGATTCAAAAGAGTTTCTGACTGAAACACAGCCTAATGAAGCCAGTAAATCCTAAATCAACGATTTTTTAATTTGTTTCAACAAAAAACGGTCGATTTAAAAAAGTTTTTGTCTGAAACAGAGCACACTGAAGGCCTAAATCAACGGTTTTTTAATTTGTTTCAACAAAATTCGTCGATTTAAAAAACATTTTTACTGAAACAAAGCGTAATTAAAACCTAAATCAACATTTTTTTTACTTTTCCAGCAGAATCCGTCATTTTAAAAGAGTTTCTGCTGACTGAAACAGCCTAATTAAAATCCCTATCACCGATTTTTTTATCGATTTAAAACAGAGCGTAATTAAGACCTAAATCAACAATCTTTTTACCTGTTTCAACAAAATCCGTCGATTTAAAAAGTTTCTGACTGAATCACAGCGTAATTAAGACCTAAATCAACGATTTTTTACTAATTTCAGCAAAATCTGTCGATTTGAAAATTCAAAAACATGCCAACCGCTCTGAAACAGCTGAAATAGCATCGCTCAGAACTGAAACGACGACTTTTTGCCTTGTTAGTCAGTTTAAGTAAGTTTCAAACTTAATAACGTAAAAAATCTCCCAAAAAAATAGTTACAATAGCGTAATTAAGACTGAAATTAAAGTGTTTTTTACTTATTTCAGCTCTACTCGTTATATTATGTAAGTTTCTAACACAAAAACAGAGCAGTTTGCTCGGAAATGATTGAAACGACTATTTTTTGGTTTGTTCGTTAATTTTAGTAAAAATTTAACTTAAGAACAATGTAAATTTTAAAATAATATACGTACTGTGTAAGAATAGAGTGCCGTACACTTGAGCAAGGGGATAGAAGGGGTCGACTCTCGGCGAATCTCGCTTTCTGTTTCTGTCTCCCCCGTACCCCAATCGATTTGAGTGGGGTCGTCCCATCCGGCAGTCAACTGTTCAATCCTCTGTCTCTCTTGTTCGAGCATTGCTAAACCCAAAAAATTTTTAGAAACACAATTTGAAGATAAAATATATTTAAAGCGAAGCGCAAAAAAACTCGACACTGTGTCGTTTTGTTTCAACCCCCCCCGTGATAATGTGTGCGACACAGTGTGCAAAAACGAGTTCGTTGCCTACCCCACTCACCGTCGACCTCTGCATTTTCAAATTGGTCGTGTTGACTTCCTTCACTGTCTATATCTTGTTGTTTGTCGGCTTGGGGGGCGGCGGTCTCGCCCTCGGCGAAGTCGCTGTCATAGAACGAGTCCGAGCTGGGGTGGTCCTAATTAAAAAAATGTAGAAAAAAAAAATTTAACGTTTTTTTTTTCTCACCGATAATGAGCTTGTCGATCGTTGAATATCCTGGACGTTGAGCGACTCGGCCTCCTGCAGCCACTCGTCGACGTTGACGCCGCCCTCGCGAAGTGCCTCTATCCGAGCTTCCGCTTTGGATTTCGCCGTTTCCGCTTTTCGAATATTCTGTTTCATCTCTTCGATTTTCGTTTCGAGATCGGGGCCGTTCTGGTCGTTGGGATCCACCTGCATAAACGACCTCATTTGTGCTAAAGCTCTGTTTACGCAATGTGTCGCTCAGATGATGGACGATGTGAAAATTGAGACGAATTTTTATTTTTTTTTTGGATTCGCTCCAATAATTTGCTGGAGTGACCTTTTGGCAACGTAATGTGAACGCATCTCTGCTCCAGGAATGAATAACACGACACGAATTGCAATTTATTGATTAAATTCGTAGAGAGCGCAAACATTTCTAATATGCATTTCAAAGCATTTGAAAAATTCTCAGGAGAATCTGGAATTTCGATGTGTTTGATAATTTACCAAAGCTTGTTTAGACCACAACAAAGTAATTAAGTTAATACATGTCAGTGAGAGGGATCGCAATAATTGATATAAAAATAATGAGAATATCAAGAAAAACATTTTTTTCTTATCATTTGGGTCATATCTCGTGAAGCTACTGTTTTTCCACAAATCATTTGTTACCATTAGAAATTAATTAGTCAAAGATAAGATAATCCCACTTTATCTTATCACAGGGGGAGTACCGGTTACATGATATTTAATTTGTTTAGCACATTTTTGATTAAAAAATACTTACAGTGTTTACTTACGTCAAGTGTGACTATACAAGGTGAATAAAAATTATTTTTTAAATCATTTACCTTCAGAAAATAATAATTAATAAAAATTAAAGTGCTATAAAAAAATTAGTTTTGTGATTTTTTTCTGAAAATGACACCTGATGAAAACTGAATAAAATGTAGAACTTAAAAACCAAAGAAAATTTTGAAAAAATGTATTCTTGATATCGTCAGATTTTTATCACACTAACATTCATCAATTAGTTTTTTCAAAAAATATTTAATTTAGGCAAAAAACGTTTGGTTCCATACTCTATTCATCCTGTACGTTGTCTGTTGTTAAGAGTTGGTGAAATAATTTTTTAAGTAATTTTTTACTGCACTAATTACAAATAAATTTTCTTAGCAAGCAAAATTTAAAAGTTTTAAACCAAAAGATTTAAAACTTTTAAATTTGAAAGCAATTAATATCAAAACAACATTTGAAATGTCTTTTGTCACCTTATTAATTTTGAAAATAAATATTTTGATTTTAGATCTCCTGGCACCTAACATCATGTATTTAGAATCTTTTTCTTCTATTAAATTTATTTTTATTCCGTAATTGTGTAAAATTACTGTTGAAAACGTCTGAGATTTTTTTCAGTCTTCTATTTAATTCGAAATTTTAAACTTGCAACTTATACTGAGAGATGATTTTTCCTAAATTATAGCTAAATTTACCAAAAAAGAAAATTTAAGTGTAATTTTCGATTAGTTTCTATTGCACACGTGTCAATTTTTTATAAAATTTATAAATACAATCAATCCGGAAATCACACGACAATAATAGATTTTTGTCACAAACATTAATATACAGGGTGTATCAAAACTTGTGCCCCAGAGAAAAATTTCGAGTAACATAAGATACCAGGAACATGAAAAAAATGTTTAAAATATTCTAACTGTCAAAAATTTTGACATTTATTTTTTACCATTTGACATTTTTTATGTCTATTTAATGTTACTGATGATATTTTATATGTTTGTTATAATTATTTAGTAAAGTTACAAAAATTTTGTCAAATAACATTTCTAATAGCCTGTAGTAAAAAAATTGAAAAATTATTTTTCCAACAGAAATAAATAGTCAAAATAAAAAAAATTAAACTCTCATAACTTTGAAATTTTTATAGATAGATTTTTTAAAATATTTTTTTCTTGTTCCTGGTATCTTATCTTACATGGTATTTTTCTCTGGGGCGCACCCTGTATAATCACCCAATACATTACGTGTTAAAATTATGCAGATTTTTAATGCAGCTATCTAGTAATTAACAAATTTGATTTTTTTAAGAATTATTAAAATCAACTCAAAGCCAAGAAAACAAATATTATCTCAAAATACGGATTTTTGAATAATTCCTAAAATTTAATTTTATTTACTGAAGAATCTCTAAATAGAACATTGGGCGTTAATGAGTGAAGTTAAGTCATTTCATGTACGATTGTTTGGAAATAAACAATGCATTCTATTTTAACGGTATTTTTTCCATCAACATGCCGTACCAAATTCATTAGTTTTCGTTTTAACTCAATGTGAGTTTTTCAAGCGGAAAATTCATTCTGTGCAATTACAGATAAGAAAATTATATCTCGCAGACGCAATAACAACTCGGCACATTTAAGCCTCTTAATTATAATTCCAGTGAAATAGAGAGACTTTTGAAGGTGTTCCATTTCGTTTCGTTGGTTCTAAGCTAAATTTTTTTAATTCTTTTAAATCCAAAAACTGCTCAATTTTTCAATGTTTAACGTCCTCGCTGCACCTCGGGCTTTAAAATTTCTGCGATTTCCTACCTTTTGTCCTGACTCTCTGAGCGCGCTGTAAATCTGCAACTTCCTCGTGCTCTCCCTGATGACATTATTCTCCCTCGCTATCCTCGTGGCCCATCTCCTCGCCTCTTTGCTCAAGGTGGCGGCGGCCGAGTCATGCTCCGCCGTGATTGTTTCAATGGGGTCGTTATCGCACGGTTCAAAGGGGTACTGTATGTGTTGTTTGAGAACAGGATAGTACAAATAACAGCACTGAATGTTGTAATCTCTTGTTAGTTGTTTGGCTTGATCTCTGATAATCGTAAAGGAATTTTGCATCGCCGAACAGGTGAGAAGTTCAGTACGACCCATTAGAAAGAGATATTCGGCGACTTTTTCATAGACGTTGCTTTCCATCGTCGACATACATTGTTGCAAATCGACGACGAAATAGCGAGTTTGATGGGCGTTCGCCGCCGCCAGGCACAGAAGGTAGTCGTTGCGGGCGCCCGTCGATTTCTCGTCGAGTTGGTCGCGTTTTGTCGAGTATTTTGCACTGTTTTTCTGCAACGAGGTGATGGAGGTGAAGAAACCGCCCTTCTTCTTCTTAAGTCTAAAAAAAAAAATGTTAGTTTTGGAAATAGCCCAGTCAAATTAGACAAAAATAGGGCGATCGCTGGAAAAAAATCCTAGAGTTGGAATTTTTTTAAACGCTTTTTTTATTCTTGGGTAAATATATATCAAAAGTCCTCGAAGGTGGGGGGCGAGCTCGAGGAGGGGGAGGGAGCTAAAGGTGTTTATTTTTTGTTTTTTTGCTTATATCTTGGAAACCATTACTCCTAACGGTTTTGGCCTGCTTATCAAAATTAAAGCCTACAAAAATGGTCCTTAGCATTTTTGTTGTAGGACTAACTGTAAGCGAGTTTAGGGCTGACAAAAAACATCACTTAAAAAAATGTGCTTTATCCGCATTTAAAACAGAATTAATCTTGTGATTTGAAAAAAAATGGAAGCAAATTGAATTTATTGGGTGCAACACTTCATTAGAGAGTCTATAAAGTCTTCCGAGTCGTCCTCACATGCTGCAAATTCGTCTTCAACTTAAACATTGAAAACTGTTGAAAACATTGAACTTGTTCAGTACAATATTAATAAATAGATGATTTAATCTCGATGATTTAAATAAAGTTTACAGTAAATTGAATGTATTGGATCCAACAGTTTATTAGAAGGTGCCACGAGGGTCTATCAAGCCTTCCGAGTCATCCTTATATGCTGAACTAGCATTTGCAGCATTTCTGATATAAAATGGGAAAAAGCCCGTTTACAAAACCATTCCATAGGCTTAGGTACTCTATAAAGCTAGATAATTACCTATGTTATGTATAGGATTCAGTTATAATAGTCTCGTTCTGCGCATGGGCTATGTTTATGGATAAATATTTAATGTTGAGTGCACTTCTGCACTCTCAAAATTTGAAATTTCATGTTTCTAATTTTGTTTTTAAGCGTTTAAACTTTACTTTATTTTATTAAAATTTGAAAAGTGCACTTCTACACTCTCTAAGGATTATATTTTCTAAATTTAATGTTTTTATATCCCTTTAAATGTGTACACCGTTTTATTCTCTTAAAAAACTAATTTTCGAAAAATCTGATTTTAGTGCCCCTTTACACCTCTAAAGAATTTTATGTTTATATCTTTGTTTAAACATTTACACCCCATTTAACCCCCTTACAGATTGATTCTCTCTTTCATCCAATTTTTTTTATATCTCCGTTTAAATGTTTACACCCGAGTCACCTTTCAGGCAGACCAGCTTAGTTGGGAAACGTTCTACACATATAAATACTTACCATATGCTAATGAAATGTGTTTCAAAGGATTTTTAATGCAATTTTATGTAGACTCCAAACTTTTGAAGCCTACGCTTAGTCCTACGACAAAAATGAATAGGACCATTTTTGTAGGAAATTTTGATGCAGAAAAAGACTTCCACAGAAAATTCTGCATAAATTACATAAACGATGAGTTTGTATTTATAGACCCTCGTGACTCCCCCTTCCTTTAATGAAATATTGGACACAATAAATTCAATTTACTGACAGTTTTTTTTTTAAATTACAAGACAAATTCTGTTTAAAATGCAGATAAAGCACATTTTTTTAAATGATGTTTTTTGTCTGCCCTCGCTTACGGTTAGTCCTACAACAAAAATGCAAAGGACCATTTTTGTAGGAAATTTTATAAGCTTTAATTTTGATAAGAAGATAAAAACCTATAGGAGTGATAATTTCCGAGATATAAGCAAAAAACCAAAAAAAAGACACCTTTAACCCCCTCCCCCTCTTCGAGATCGCCCTACCACCTTCAGGGACTTTTGATATATGTCTACCCAAGTGTAAAGAAAGCGTTTAAAAAAAAATCCAACTCTCTTGGATTTTTTTCCACCGATTTGTCTATTTGACTAGGCTAAAACTGAAATGTTTGCTTACTTTTCTTCGATGTCTCTCGCCTTGTCTCTGACCCCATGAGCGCTGTGTTCCTCATCGAAATACATTTTTTTCGTCTTGTCCACTTCTTGTACACACCCTTGCAATTCCTTCTGTACGATAGCTAACTGGTCCAAACACTGCAAAAAACTCGAGTTATTACTACAAAAACCGAAATTCCTCTCACTTTTTTCGCCGCTTGTAGCTTATGCACCCTTAAAATTTTCGCGTCGTCTGCTATCTGCTGTTGAAAAACCTCGACGGCTGCTAGTCTGGCCCGTGCCAGTTTTTCGTTTTCTTCTAAAACTGTTCGCCAAACGTTCCACATGTTCCTGCAAGAAAAAGATCGATTCGAATTTTTCAGCTCTTTTCCGGTTAAATGGACGTGTAATTTGCAAACCTCCGCCCTTCAAGTTTGCGTAATTAAACGAAGTTCGGCTTTAAAAATTGCGGTAGTTTCCAAGTTCGGCAGTTTAAAGGGGAAGTACGGAAGAAATTACTTCTCGAGAAATTCGTGTGAGAAAATTTTACATAGAGATTTCTTCAAATATCACCCATAAAAAAATAAAAGCCGATAAGGAACTCTTAACCGAGTCACCTTCAACATACACGACTCACCCCATTAGCTGACTCTTAATAAATCAAAAAACTTTCAAACAATACGTTACAATCTTCCACGATTTACGAGAATTTAGAATAGTTCCGAATCAAATTTATGGTTCACTGCACTCAAAGTCGAGGTACATAGAGTTCAAAGGGTCGGCTCTCCAAGGAGTCTTTTTCGATTTATTTAAATAAAAAATAATGAACTCGAGGAAAATGAAAAATGTGTGTGGAGTAGTGTTACAGAAATTTTGAGAGAGAGAAAATAAACGTAGTTGCGAGTGTATAAAACTCATTTTGGCAGGTTTGACAACCTATTTTTTTTTCATTTTGAATGTTGTCATTTGTTTCAGCCACTTTATTTCTATGTTTGTTGTAGGTGCTTTTAATACGTCCTTTTGTTTTTCATGTAAACATAGAAAATGTATTTTATTAATTTTTCCTAAAAAATATAAAAACATAAACGTTAGAACACATGAAAACTTATAAACGTGAAAACAGATAGGTACCGGGTGACTATAAATGATTGTGATTTTTTACCTCAAGTTGGTGTCAAATTTAAAATTTTAGTTTGACAACCTTGACTATCAAATTTAAACGTCAAACTTCTATCGGCAATTGTCATTCATTTGCGGCGACTGCGATTAAGACTTAGAAGGATTACTAATAAGTCAGTGTTACCAATAGATTTTTTTGTCACAAACATTAATGACTATTAATGCTATTGTTGGGTGACTCCCAGTATCCCCGGATTGGGTTTACAAAAGGAAAAAAAAATATCTTTGATTTTACGTCAAAACTGCAAGGAAAAACATTTTTTGCTTCACCTGAAACGAGCAAATCTATATCCTGACCGAAAAGAAAAGTTCCTTTTTCTTTTGATTTTGAACTTATAATTATTTTTTTGTGCGTTTTAAATTCCATCACATAGGCGGTTTTACTTTTTTGACAACGATGTCACTTTGACAAATAAGTTTATGTAAGTTAAATAACAAAAATGTTTGTAAAAAACGTAATTTTAATAAACGGCAACTGAAAAAAAAACAGCTTTAAGATAAAAAATACACAGTCATTTTTAACAACAACCAACATTATTTAATTAATTAATTAATTGTCAAAATGACATCGTTGTCAAAAAAATAAAACCACCAATGTGATGAGATTTAAACAGCAGAGAAAAATTATTATAAGTCCAAAATTAAAAGAAAAATTAGCTTTTCTTCCTACTGAATCAGAATTTCCTTTGCAATTTTGGCATAATATCGCAGATAATTTTTTATTCCTCTTGTAAACCCAATCCGCGGACATACTGTATATGAAACCATCAATTTACATTCGAAATATGAATTATTAAAAAAAAAAAAGAATAATTGCCAACTTTTGCTTTATTTTATTTTAACAATGACCACTATAAAAATTAAAGGAATTATACCGTAGGTATAGAAAATACTCCAATAACTTAAAATAAAAATTGCCACATTTTGGCAATTTTGAGCAAAATCATGATTTGCGCTATCATTTTTTTTTTACTGAGGGTAGCGATTTTGGAAATATTATTAAATATTATTATATTAAAAAAATCAAATAAAATTCAAAACACTTAAAACACCAAAAATTATATTTCATTGCCTGTTTTTACACCATTTAATTGCGTAACAAAATTAAGTAAAACTCGTGTTAAAACCACTTTTATTAATTAGTGGATTAAAAAACTTTTCTCAAGTCCAAATGTGCGGTTTTCACAGCTTCTTTAAAGAAGATTAACACTCGCGTATATGAGTAATATCTAGAAGAAATAAATGGAAAATTCTTAACAGCTTCTTCAATAATCGTGAACCAGTTTTATGCGAGTATCATAAATTTTGTGGAAGAAATTTACGAATCTATACCTTAATTCATTAGAAAATGTGCTTCAATATCAATATGTTAATTAAAAATAAACGCCATGTTAAAAAAACGACTTAAAAATTGACACAATAGTTATTTGCGTATCAAGGCACTAAACTCTTATTTTTGCCGAGGCGATAGCCGAGTTTACAATTGACAGTTTGCTTCAAATAATCCAGTGTTGTCAGATTTCACTTTTAAATAATAACCAAGAAAATTATTTACAGAATGAAAAACTTATATTTATAAACCGACGCACATTAGCAATAGGATTATGTCTTTATCTCATGTTTACATTAAGACAATGATTTGACAACACTGTTATTAATATTCGCAACCCGCAACCCGGAAATTTGAAGAATAATGACACTTTTTGGTAACGATTTTTGTATGACACTTTAGTGACGATTTCAGAAAAAAAATTACAATTCTAGTTTAATTAGAAAGAAGTGTTTTAGAGATGCGAATAAAACTTGACATAACTACGTAATAAGTTTATTCTCAAACTCGAATTCCAACATTATTTAAGTGAAAAATTAATAAAATCAATGTAAAACATGACTTCTTGAGTACCTAATTTTGGGTGATTTCGCAAAAATGTGTGTAATGACCTCCACTCACCATTTCTCTTCGCTGCCTTCGATTTTGATATCAGGAATATTAGGTGCTTTCTTGTTGAGGAACTGCGAGGTCAGCTTAAGCAAGTCCTGTAAGAATCACACAATCAATAATCCAATTGTGATAATCCCTTGAAAATCGTACTTCGGAGTGAGTTTTCTCTAGAGCGGATTTCCTGATTGTAAAGTTCCTAATGTCCTCAAGCAGGTCGCACTCGTGCTGGTTCTTAAGCGCGAGTTTGTTGATCTGCTCCGTGTGGAGGTTTTTGAGGAATTTGGCGTAATTACCCTGAAATTTGACAAGTGTGCGTTTGTTGGTGGTGGTGGTGTGGTGATGCCCACCTTTCTCGGCGGCGGCTGCATGATCTCCTCGGAGAAATATCGCCTCGCATTCACTCCACACACACAACCGCTCCCGACACTTCCGACTCGACGACGTCTATTGATTATGCCACCCACTGACCGACAGAGCTGGCGGCGGCGCCGTTCAAACAACCTCCTACGACGTTAAACATCGCAGATCGAAATGCTTAGTATTGGAGGCGATCAACCAGTTTTAATTCACACGATGTGATAACGTTTAATCGAGTGGATCTTGACACTTGTGACAGATAGCGAGATAATTTCAATTTGCCACGACTTTGAGCGGAGTTCGATTTTTTGAGTCGAACAAAACAGACATTTTTTGTGAAATCGTCCCTAAAGCAAACGAAATGTTCCGTAAAGTAACTCAAAAGAGTAGTAGTATAAAGGCCCCTTCAGCACACAACACTTTTTAATGTAAAACACCCTGATTTTCAAGGGTAAACTGAAAAGCAGTGGGCTCCTTCAGCACACAGCACTTTTTAAGGTAAAACACCCCGATTTTCAGTGGTAAACAGAAAAGCAGAAAAAATCGTGAAATCACTTCCCATTTTAAAGGCATATTTTAAAATTAACATTTTTAAGGTAAAATAACCCGATTTTCAAGGTAATCTAAAAAAAAAGTAAAAAATATCAAGCAAAATAACCCGATTTTCAAGGTAATCTAAAAAAAGTAAAAATATTAAGCAGAATAGCCCGGTTTTCAAGGTAATCTAAAAAAAGCACAAAAACACCCCAATTTTCAAGGATAAATAGAAAACACCCCCGATTTTCAAGGGTAAACAGAAGTGATAAAATTTTAAACAAAATAGCCTGTTTTTCAATTTCAAGACAGTTTGGGACACAGCTTTAATATCCAAATGGTATTGTATCAAAGTTTTCTAAAATAACCCTCTTATCATAAACAAAACCAAATTCTTTTGTTTCTATTTTATTTAAAAGTTCTTTAGTTTAAGTATCTCTGGTAATTCGATGATATTGTATACTAATTTTACTACCTTTCTTTTCTAAAATATTATTTATACTATTGGAATCGATCTTTTTGGATGTCTCATAATTTAACGTAAATCCTTTTATTTTACAAACAACTTTATCCGTATCATAATATACAACCGCCTCTCCCAATTTATCTAACATTTCATATAATCTTAATCTGGCGTTTGCTGTTGTAAAAGCAGCTATGAATTATTGGTACTAAAATCATTTTCAACATAATAATCTTTATATTTATAGCTAATTTGTAACATTGTATCGTTTATATCATTTAACTGAATTTTATCAAGTCTATCATCTAATAAAATTTCGTAAAATCTCTTAACATCTGTAACATATTCTGTTGATCCCATATTTTGTCTCTGACCAAATTTACCCCATAAGTTTACTAAACAAGATTTTGCTACAGCTCTCTTACCAGGATTGTTTTCTATTTCACCTAATTCTATGCCTAGTTTTTCCTTTACCACTTTTCTATATTCATCTTCCGTTTCAAAATCATCTTGCCATGGGCTTGTCTCTAGTTTTATTTTCATAAATGCCTTTACATATTCTTTAAATAAATCATTTGATTCTTCATAAAAGTTCCAAYCTTCATCAATATTTATTATTTTATACCCTTTTTCTATTGCTTTTTTTACCTCGTTTGAACACCATGTTCCGCCCCCGATTTTCAAGGGTAAGCAGAAAAGCAAAACAATCATGAGAACACCCCCGATTTTAAGGTATATTTTAAAATTAACATTTTTAAGGAAAAGCACCCAGATTTTCAAGGGTAAACTGAAAAGCAGAAAAACTCGTGAAAACACCGCGATTTTAAGGTACATTTTAAAATTAACATTTTTCAAAGATTTTACTCTCTTGTATTTGAATTTACCGCCGTGATTAAGTTGGTACTAGTTATATTGGTAAGCCTGATTACCTTGGAGTTTTTGACTTCCTGCCAATGCTCGTTCGTCGTTTAGTTCCAGCTTCCAGCAGTCTTCGTACACGTGCTCGCACATGGTCTGCAAGTAAGAGTAAGTAGATGAGTTTAGCAAATTGTATTTACTCTTAGGTCTAGATAATAGTAGTATTTACCTAATACCAACAATAGAAATATAAAAATATTTTACATCTTTTATTATTAATATCATAACAAAAAGTGTTTGCACAAGCCAAAAATTGGAGATTACTTTTTTATTCTACCGCTTTATGTTTCAGGTTGAAATTGAAAAGAAAATGAGTAAAAGAAGTAGTTTGCAACTCAACGAAAGCCCGGAAATTCCACATACAGTTACAGTTAGTATAGCAAATTCGCCCAACAAGAGAGTCAGGACAGAGGTACAAAACACAAAGAATGTAATGTTACATCCATATCCAGTGTTCATCTAGTTGTTTGTGATGGTCTCCTGTTCTTATGTGTTTGGCTCCTTTTATGTCCTTGTTTTTATAGCCTGGTTTTATAAAAAATATTGTTATCTCTAACTTCAAGCTGATGTGATATATTATTTTAAGTTGTGCTGTTACTTCTGTGTTAAGTACTTGTGTCCAAGTGTTTGTATGTCTCTTATCAAAAAAGTAATTTATATGGAAAATATTAATCGCATGTTTATTATTACAGACCACTGCTTTTAAAGAAAAATTCGGGAAAGTGTCCCAGCTTGCTGAAAAAGAAAAAGTGGTAATACTTGCTAACACCCTGTATAATATGGAAACGTCAATTCAAGCAGTTCAAGACTCAATCAATCGCCTTGAAAGTAACATTCGCAAGATAATAAGGGAGGAAGTAACAAGTATTGTAAAAAATGAAATTCAAAATGGATTTAAAAATCTCAAAATTGTTTATGAGGAAAATTAATGTTCTGTTAACTTATTGATATATAATAATAATGATTTTTATAACAAATCTTCAGTTAGTTTCCAGTTGATTTATTATTAATTAACAACGAAAAGGATTAGAATCCAAATGGTATTGTATCAAAGTCTTCTAAAATAACTCTCTTGTCATAATTTTTCGTCATTTACTTTAAAACACATAGTAGAAATACCGTTTTCATTTAAATTCAAAGTTATTTTATTATCCATTTATATAAAAAATTATTTAAGTTTATTTAGTATATAAGAGAAAATTATTTTATTCTTCAATTATTTCAATGTCACAGTCATTATCTAATTGTTTCGATGACCGCCAGTGAAATTTAGTTCTTTTTAGATATACAGTTTTATTTAAAGAAAGTAACTTTTTAATATTATTAATTAATTCATCTGTTGTCGGATCATCTCTATTTATATCTGTTACACATAAACACAAACTCAAAATATCCATATGTTCATATGAATCTAGAAAAAACGTTACTCCATTGTAATATTCAGATCTAGATCTTTCAACACTGTTAATTCTATATTCTCTATTAAGATCTAAATCATACAATTCAACTTCCCACATTTATTAAATAAAAAATAGTTATTTAAGCTTATTTAGTAAAATCATAATTTTATCTATAATGCTACATTTAATTCCAAAAATAGATAAATTAAATTTATACGATTTTGTCGTTTGCAAAAATTCATGATATTCGTAGTAATTATTGTCTTTAAAGAAATAAATTTTTCCATTAATATATCTAAAAGCTTTGTCAACATTAGAAGGAATACTAGAAAACAATTCAACTATCATACCATGTTTCTTAGGTCTAAACAGACATTCATCAAATTCTATAAACATTGTGTTGTCATAAAATATATAAGTTTGACCAGAATAAGTACTAAATATTGCATTAATTTTCTTTCCACTAGGAACACCCAAACTTGTGATAGATCTTCCATTATAACCGTTTTTAACAACGAAACTAGGAAAACAAAATAGTTCCATCTGGTCTCTGATAAATATGTGATATTTCTTGAAAATTATCTGGTAAAAAAGTTAAATAATCTGTAATTAATTTTGGTTTATTATCATAGCTCATGTCTTTTAAATTAACAATCCAGACATATTTCTTGTAGAAAATATATAATTTATGATTTGCTATTAAAAATGTGTTAATAGTTTCACTTAAGCTGCATAAATCAGGTAATGAATCAGTCTTTCTAGGAGTCAAAGTAATAGGTTTTTTAGTTGTGGTAGATGTAGTAGTTGTGGTAGTTGTAGTTGGTATTGATTCATATTTTGACCGTTCAGATATTCCATATAACTATTGAATTGCCCAAATATCATCTTGCGTTAATTTATCACCATCTCCTTTTTAATAAGCATACATAATTGCTTTATCATTGGCAGAATGTTCAATACCTAAAGTATGTCCAATCTCATGCAATAATACCGTATAAAAATTTGTTTGTCCGTCAGGGGTATTACCTAGTTCTCCAAAATACCAGTTTTCTGATTTATCAAAATGAATTCCTCGACATTCATCATTATTTGGAAAGAATCCATGTGCTAAAATATTAGCTTTCCCATCGAAACTGTTAGAACATACTCCTTTTTGACACCGGGAATTATGATTATGTTGAAACGGCATATTAGCAAATGAAATAAGTATATCTGGTTTATTACTATTAAACTCAAATTTTAATTTTGAAACCGATTCCCATTGATCAAATGCTTTTTGTGCTAATTCTTTCATTTCGTTTGTTGCTAACGAAAAATACCATTTAAGATTTGTTTTAGACCATTTGTTAGTGTGAACTCTATAAGCAGTTGGATTATCTCTAACACCACATCTAGGAGTATTAATCAAAGCAAGTGTTTCTTGATTTAATGTTCCATCAGCAGGTAAATTATAGAATTCTTGAAACTTTATTAATGCCTCACTGGTTTCAGCTATTAATGGTCCATTAGTGTCTAGTCGCAGACCTGAGTCAGCTCCAGCTGACGCTAAATACCCAAATTTTTCTAAATAATTATTAATATTAACATCGCCTTCGGTTCTGGGCTGGCCGTGCCAGACAACATATGAACTTTTTACAGTAGTGAGAAATAAGAAAAGAATAATATAGTTCATTTATTAGAGTAAATATCAAATTAAACAATTGGAATATCTTAAAAAATAATTGTCTTATTTAATTATTTACTATGTGAAACACTTCATGAGTCGAAGACGAATTTAATTTCCGTTTAAGCGGACTTTTTCTAGGTATTTCTCTCTGGGAAAATAATTAAAATTACTGACAAATTCCTCTTCACGTAAATTTATTTATTTTTCATTTATTTTATCAGTCTTATATAAATGCAATAACTGTCTATAAAATTTATAAATTAACTTATATTCTTCAATTCTTTCTGATATTTTTAATCTCTTATCTAATATTTCTATTACCCCTGCACCAAGAGATAAACAAACTAATGGAGGTAGGGCTAACGAAGATAATCCCGATGCACTAAATAATAATTTACTAATAGATAAGCCGATTCCAATTTTATAAAAATATATGTAACTTTTTCTGTATACATACAAGCGTTTTTGTAGATATGTTTCCATTTATAACAAATAGATAATATATATATTTTTTAATTACGTTCAAATATTGAAATAGTAGTTTTCTCATTTAAACGACACGGTATCTGTTTGAAAGAATATAATATATCATAAAAATCTTTGCCTCTGTTGACATTAATTATCATATATATACAGTCATGACCACATAAAACAGAAGAATTCATTTGTAACTGCGTGCTATTCCACGCTATATTTTTACCGCTACTTAATAAATATTTTTTAATTTTTTCTGGTGGAGATATTCCAAAACTGTCAAAATATAAAATATTTCTTAAATATGGTTTGTTTATGTAACATACCCAGTGTGAGCCATAACAATTAGAGGGATGAAAATTAATTATACCTGATTCATCTTTTCTAATTTTTTTTGGTAACATGTCAATTGCAAAAACGCCTCGAAAATTTCGCGTAGCTTCATGAGGCAAACCCGAATTTTTCATAATATCAGATATTTCTATATTACTTAACCCCGATTTCCTATCAATTTTATTCCTTGTCCATATGTCTTCGTCTTCGTCTTTGACTCTGAGCTGGCACTGCCGGTCTTCTTTTTTTTATACCATCTCCAAAGGCTTTTTGTGCTAATTTAGTACCAGCATAACCAGCAGCACCTAACCCCCATACTTTGGCTACAGCTAACGCTGCAGGAATTAAGGCAGGTAAAAATCCGCCTATCTGTGTTGGAGAAAATTTGATATCACAATATATTTTGTTCTCCGTTTTACACTTTTTAATTTCATCAACTTGTTTTTCTCTTAATTTAATAGTATTATTAGGTCTTTCTTTTAAATCGAATCTTATAATACAATCTATTCTTTTTTCTTTACAACTTTGGAGTTTCTTTATTTGATTGGGTGATAAATATACTTTATAATCATTCATTTATTTAATTAAAAACTACTTCATTTCCAAATAAATCTTTTCATCTATGATATTCATATTTGCAATTCTTTGAGATTCAACTACAGCATACATATAGTAATTAACATTTTGATAATCTCTTTGTTTTACTAAATAAATTTTCATCATTTTCTTTTGTTACGTCAAAAGCAACAACCTAAATAGAGGTTACAAAAATCTTTATAGCTAACGCACGTACCTTCATCCAAATCTTTTTTATAATTACAAGAGAGGAATGCGGCATACAAGCGTTGTAAATCCTCATTATTCACCTGATATTCGTAAGTAGGATGTTGGGTACCATTGATTTTAATATTTATTCTTTCTAAATTCATATTATCAAAAATCATCATTGTCTTGGTAAAATTATCGTTTCGTTCAGCTCTAGAAAAAACTATAAAAACTCTAGATATTTTATTTTGATTATTTACAACGCGCCAGTTTCCACTTCCAGAAGACCACAAATTACTACGGTAACAGTTAAGCGCATTCCATCCACAAAGAAAGTTAGATTTGCTAACTAATAATGAAGATAATATTTTTTCAGTTTCTAATGAGGGTTTTACTATAGGGATCCACAAACTAATATCAGATATTTCATAATCATAAMTTCCATCAACTTTAGCYTGTAATATWTTTTTTACCCTATTTTTACGTAATTCAYTGCGAATTTTTCCATTCAAAACTTTGTTACAGTCTCGTACAAATCGGAAAATTTTAGATAAAGGAATAAATTTTGTGAMAGTTTTTTCATCTTTTGTTAACAACCATCTCTCTAAATATCCTTTATTGAGTGCAGAATTATTTGTGATTTTTGAAACAATAGTTTTTATATCAACGTCTAAATCTTTAAATTTTTCCGCCTTATTTTTCCCATCATATTTGTATTGAGACGTATCTGCTGAATCTGCTGTGTCTGGGTACCAACACAATTGTGATGCTCAAGTATCAGAAACATCTCCTGAAAATTCAATCAGATTTGAAATTAGCGTAGCAACACCCACATAATTTGTTTCTTCTATCAATACCTCTTCATAGAACAACCTCACATAGTCAAAATCATTTATTCCATTATTTGATATAGTTGCATAATTATTTGGATTGTTTTTAATTTTCGATTTGACAAAAATATYAGCACCTGATAAATGTTTCCATCCGTTTATGTTAGTTTCGAGCGTATATTGTTCAAGTTCTTTCACGTTGATATTACTTTCTCTTATTTCATTGTAAGTATAACTTTTTGTTGATTCATCAATTACGGGCATTTCATCAATACGCCATAAATTGTCCACAACGCTTTCCATTTATTTAAATAAAAAGAAGTCTTTTAGGAAACTTAAGCATTCAGTAGATTTTTAATAATCTCCTTTGATTTTTTAGTTAATCGATTCGTCCTGCCAGTCTTGGCCTTTTTCAATCCTCACCTCGTAAATGTTCATTCATCGATTTTTCTTTCATTTTGTTTAGAATAGGATTTATAATTTCTTCTTTATAAGTAGAAAACGGCGGTGATTTTACGTATGTAGACGCTATGTTTTTAAACCCTGAAGTCACACCTTGAATGATATCCTCTTTATTATTTTTCCAAAAAGGTTTTAATATATTGCGATATAAAAAACCTAATGCAGGTATAGCAAATTTTTTTATAGATTGAAAAATATTTCCACCTCTAATATCTCTGTGATATTTAAGGCCAAACCCATACTGTTTAGGAAATAACTGTTTTCTATGAACAACAAGTACCATTTATTCTACAAGAAAGACGAAGGCTCACTGAATATCTAAAACAAAATTTAAGCACTCTCCATTAAAATTTATCAATTGATTTAGCTGGTTTGTAACCGAAATGCGAATATTAAATATATAATCCGTACGATTAATTGGTAAATATTTCGGATGCGTTGGTTCAATATTAATTAAAGATCTAGGCGAAATATTTGGAGTAAAAGCGTATATAACATCACTTTTGAGATTATTTTGATAACTAGATGAAACTAGGGAACAGTGAATCAGGATTTGATCAATATCTTTATATATTACCAATATATTACCAATTTTTGTTGCATAGTTTATTCCTTCTTTATATATTTTTTTATCAAATCCTAAAAGCTCATATATCTTACCGTGGGAAAAGTCAATTTCATAATCTATGTCGCGTATAATTAGCATAAAACGATTAGTTGCATAATTTACATCAAAATAAAACGGGGGTGTTTCTAACGTTCCAAGATATTCTTGGATATAATTATTTAATTTATTTTCATCGTACAGACCGTTCGGTAATTTTAATATTTTCCACTCCGATTCATTTCTATCGTCTTCTTTCTTGATTTCGTTATTTTTGAGATCGGCCTGCAGAGCCTTTTTACCAGACTTGTATTTTATTTCGTTATTTTTATACGCTTCGGTAATGTTATCCCAACTATACCAGAGACTTGCTGTTTTTAAAGCAATTTCACCTTTTAATCCAGATAAATTAATAGGATTTTCAGAATAACTTATTTCAAAATCATTTTTTTTAGATCTAATGTGTATTAGGCTCATTTATTCTGTTTAAAAAAGGTTCACGAGGCAAAGGCGAGTTGGGTAGAGAATATCCTTTTGTGATCTGACTTTTTTATGAGTTTCAGGTTTAACAATTTATTAAGTATTTCTACGCATTCATTGTATACATCGGTTGAATAATTTCCAGCATTTTTTGACGCAATTAATAGATTAAGACGTTCTACCATTTCATTCGGATCTGAAAAAATACTACTTCCTTTTTCATAGAAAGGAATTTTTCGAATATCTTTTAAAACACTTTTATATTTTTTCAACTGTGAATACACATATTGTAAATTATCAATTTTTTCTCGTTCTTGTGATTTCTTTGCGTTTGTAATGTGCGCATTTAATGATTTTAATTTAGTTGATATTTCAGGCATCGTTGTATCAATTTTTGCGTTTCGATTTCTAATGTCTAACGATAATAAATATGAAGGTTTTTCAAATTTAAATTGTTTTTCAATAATATCAAAATTTAAATCTTTATTTGGATCTAAACTTATTGAGGCAGACGATTTTGGAAAAGATAATAAATTATCTGATTCGCTTACATCATCGCCTTCCACATTCTTTGAAACATTTTTGTCTTGGTCTTCGGCTTTGTCTCTGAGCTCGCGCTGCCAGTCTTCGACTCTGGGTAGACCTTGTTGCCTGTCTTCTTCCTCAATTGCTAAAACATTTTTTGGATTCGCTTCGTTCATCATGAGCGAGGCAAATTCAGTAATATTATCAAGTTTGTCAGTTATAGGCTTCTGTAATTTTTTTTTATTTCTTCCTTCGTTAAATGTTCTTTAAATTGTTTTAAATGGATCCTATTTTTTATTATTTCACGATTTTTCAGAATAGCGTCAATTATTTCAGTTTTACTATCAGTGTTAGTCATTTATATACTATGAAACACCGAAGTCTGATCCAGTTGCCATCTAGGATCATTTGGATCCTCCGAAGGTTTGCGACTAAACGTAAGCCCCTTCAAAATTCGCTTCGCTTCATTAGCGGACTCCGTCCGCAATTTTTTTTTTGAATTTTTGCATTCGTTTTGAATTTTATGATTCGTTTTGAAATTATTATTTCATTTTGAAATTTTTATTTTACAACTTGATTTTTATTTTAGATTTAATTAATTAATAATTAATGTGAAACACTTCATAAGTTGAACAAGAGATAGTAATTTACCCGCTATCAGGATTCGAACACGCAGCGAAAATTGTGCACATATTGGGAGCGCGACGCTTTAACTTCTGCGCTATAAGCGTGCGTATTTGTGTTAAATAAATGAATACGTCCTTACCTATTTATTTTATTAAAGCCGATGAAAAAGAACATTACAACATTAATGAATTAGCGCCAAAATGGCCTTTTATATTAATAATTATAGGACGAAGCGGTTCTGGTAAAACAAATACTGTTGTCAATCTTTTAAAATATTTATTTTTTGATACTTTTTATTTGTATGCGAAAGATTTAGAAGAACCTTATTATCAGTTATTACAAAATATGTTTGATGATGAAAAAATTCGTGGACGTAGTCCACTCATGGAGCAAAGCGAAATTCGACCTGAAGATCCGATAATTGAATCGTATTTTTCATCAGATATAGAAGACATAGTCGATGTAGACGAACTGGATAGAGATAAACAAAACTTGATTGTTGTTGATGATTTCGTAACGGAAAAAGATCAAAAGAAACTGATAGATTTAGCTATACGCGGAAGAAAAATGAATGCTTCAATGATTTATATAACGCAGGATTGGTATAGAGTGCCAAAATCAATTCGTTTACAATGTAATTATCTTTCAATATTTCCATCGTGTGATGGTAATGATATAAGCTTAATATTTAGAGAAAAGGGGTTGGATAAGAAACTCAGGAAATATTATGAAAATAATATTAAAAAATTTGATTGCTTAACTATTGATTTCAAAACTCCTGAAATGAAATATAGAAAGAATTTTACGCCCATAAATGACTGGCAGAGCCAATCCGATGTCAAAGACGATGATATCTGAATACGTTCTTAGAAAAAATAGAAAAAAAGGTGGAAAATCAACAAGAGGACCACCTGGTATAGGATTTAATCTA